CCCGCGAGGTTTGGGCTTGGCTGGCCCCCATCTGCGCCGAGTGTTAGAAACCAGGGAGGACGCCATCACAGTCAGTGTTCGCTTGCGGCTGAACTCTGCTTGGGACTCTGAGCGACTGCGGTCTTCGAAGGTCCTCCCTCCCCTACACCCCGCCAACCCCCGCCACCCAGACAGTTCTTAAGGTGGTGCGGCTGTACTCCCCACATCGCTTTAGGCGATCGCCCTCGTGTTTCCCCGGAAATTTCCGCGTCCGCATGACCGTCTGTAAGAAAGGCTAGCGAATTGCATGGGAAAGTGGAGAGACAAAATCTGATGAAGTCAAATGTGAAAGTTCAGGAAAGGAAGTAGAGCTGTTCAAATTCAGACTGCTGTTTCTGCCCTACATACCTGTGATGTTCCCCATACCGACTTATTTTAATTTTTTCTTTGTTTGTTTGAGCCGGAGTCTCATTCTGTCGCCCAGGCTGGAGTGCAGTGGCACGTTCACGGCCACCGCAGCCTTGACCTGCTGGGGTCAGGCAATCCTTCCACTTCAGCTTTCCAAGTAGCTGGGACTACAGGCGTGCGCCACCACACCCAGCTAATTTTTTGATTTATTGTAGAGACCGGGGCTTCAACCCGTGGCCCGGGCTAGTCTCGAACCTGTGGGCTCAGGTAATCCTCTCGCCTCCGCCTCCCAAAGTGTTGGGATTACAGGCGTGAGGCACCGCGCCCGGCACATTTAAATTTTTATTCTGAGATATTGTTCCTTATTAAAGCAATCCTGAGAAACCTCTGTTTTCCCTTCAGAAAAACTTCTATATTCTACAAGCATTTATGTAATCCCAGATAGGTCCCTTGTATCAGTGACTGCTGACTTTGGACGAAAGAACTAGATCCCCCCCGCCATTTTTATACTTGGAAATTAAGATTTGGAACTGGAGGCAAAAAATACAAAAACTCACAAACAAAATTAAGATTTGGAACTGGAGGCAAAAAATACAAAAACTCACAAACGAAAAATACAAAAACTCACAAACGAAACGATTGTGATCTCTCCGTGGTGCTGAAGCAACACTCCCCAGCTTTGTTAGTTCACCCTCAGGGCACCTCGTCGTTTGTTTTGAGATGGCCAGCTTCCTGTCTAGTTTTTACGCTTGGGCTCTAATAGTAAATGCTTTTGTTTCTCAATAGTAACTTTCTTCTAATATGACCAGGTACAAAATCGGGCCAGGATCTTCAAACTCTTGGTTTTCATATAAGGATAGCAGGCATTTGGGGGGAAAAAAATCACCTCTTTTCTATTAATTTAGCGGAACACTAGAATTTCTCCTTTTATTCTTGTGCTACCACAGGCCCCAGATTCTGCTTTGTTGTGAGTGGAGTCCAGTGGCTGAACTGGAAAACACGAGGGGGATTTTAGCATCAAGCCGGCCCCCTCGGCTCTCAGAACTACATTTCCCACAGTAGGGACCACACTTCCCATAAGGCCTCGGGCGCGCGTACACGACGCAAAGGGACAGCTTCCTGTCTTGCGGAAAGTCGTGCGGCCGACTACCGGAAGGTGAGCGTGGGCCCCTTGGGTGGGCTGTTTCTGGGTCCACGCCGGGGAGCCGACAAATAGACGCGCAGGTGGGCGGTTATCTGTTTTGGCTTCTGTCTGATACTTTGATCTATTCAGGAAAGCGCTGGTTGTATGGAAGTGAGATATCGGTTAAGACCATGTGTTTTTCTTTTGTGCCTCGTATTTCCTGGAGCATTTGACTGAAACCCGCCGTAGTAGGGGTTTCTTTAATTCGATTCTGTATCCGGAATTTAGGGAGCTCTTGGAGTGTGGAGTTAAATCTTTGTCCCCTAGGTTTTCTCATAGTTGTGCAGAAAACTAAACAGTAATAGAAGTCTGGACCCCAGGAGTTTGTGGGATGGGAGGGAGGCGATTTTCATATTCTTCTGGGGACTGCTTTTCAGTGGTTAGTGATCATAGTGCGTGTCTATCAATCCTTTCAACATTAACTCCCTCTTTCTCCCTTTGGGCTAAGGTAAAGTTGGTCATGAGGAATGCTACTTCTGCTAATTCACTGGTTCCTGTTCTTTTCGACATTAAGTGCCCTTAACTTCGAAAAATGTATCGAACTCTGGCGAGGGCTTTAATTTACAGTCGATCCTTTAGCTCACACACGAACTCCCTTTGTAGTCATTTGCGTCCCCCTTTGCGTCTCTTAGTACAGAGAAGGCACTGCACCAAGTCTTGGGCACAAGTTCTCTTTTTGCCACGTATCTGCTTTAAAGGGCTTTAACTAGATAATTACTTTGGAATTTTAAATTTTGGTAATATTGGACTTTGAGATCCAGATAGGGAAGGTAAATCACCGGAGTGCTGTGCGTGTAAAAAGTACTGTGATTTTTAACTTCTTAAAAAACCGAGGTATAAATAAAAATTACTTTTAATACCACCAGCCGGAGTTGGGTTTTGATCTTTCTCTGTGCTGTGTACGTGCATGTATGACTGTGATCATGCTGTATATAGTTTGACAAAGTTGTTTGCGTTTTTCATATTAAAGATTTCCAGTGACTAATATTCTATCTCTATTTAAATAGACATTAATTATTCCACAAATGGTGGACAGTTTTTAAGTTTCTACAGTGACTATATCCTATATGTGTCATTGATTACTTCTTTTTCTGACAAATGCTTAGCGGCAGAACTGGGTGAATGTATCAATTATGTAGCTTTAAGTATTATGAAGAAAATGTATTTTGGCAAACAGTAAAGGTCAGTCACTCTGCTCACTTTTCTGCCTCCCATGCTAAAACTGACTTCAGATTTTAGATGTTCCTCATTGGATTAGAAGATCAAGAACAGGTAAATTCAAATTTAAGGTGATCTGTACCCAAACAGGCCAGATACATTTTAGTATTTAAGTCTGCATCTAATTTCAGATGTTAGTAGTTTGAAATTCTACTACTTGAATTGCCTTCAAGTGACAGGTATAATTCCTAAGAAAATCTCAGTGGTATTCCAGAAGTAAAACTAGCAGGCAATGTGTTATTTAAATAATTGAAGTAATTCTGAGACAAAAGGAGTTAGGATGCTGTATGTTATTATTTTGGGGCATTTACTAAAACAGTATTTTACATAGCTACCTGGACTTGCTATATTCCTTTAGTAATGAGGGTTGGCTATGCTGTTACCTCTCCTATCCTTTATGGACAGTGTAATGGGCAGATTTTTGTTCCTTTTGGCTGCCATTAGATGGTGAGAGTATCATGGGGAGTATGATTAGAAGCAGAACCTAGCCCAGGTTCAAAATCATTTTACTTAAGGAAGTATCTAATGAAATAAGGTTCAAGTTCATAAATTCCCAAAATAATTTAATTGACAAGCTTAATGCCCAGCAACTTTAAAAACAAATTAAAACATAGCAACTCACATTGGCTACAAAGGTAAAAAGGCTATAGAATAGCAGTGGTACTTACTAATTTGACAAAATAGAAAGACCAGGTCTATATCACATTATCTGGCATGATTTCTCTTGGAACTGCTGGATTTAAGTGGTAATTGGGTAGTTAAGTGGTATCTGATACCAATGTGATAAATAGGAAAGACGATAGTGGGTGAAGTTCTTACTCTGTATGTTTTATGGGCTTTTCAAGTCAGTTTCTATTTAGAAGATATATAATGAACCAGGTTACCCCAAACAATCCTGTGAAAAGAGACAGGTAAAGACTTAAGGAGGAGGAAGAGGGAAGGAAAGTTTCCTGGGCATGACACCATTTGCAAGGTCACAACGAACACCCCAACGGAGTGCAGATCTTTTCTTCTCAGTTGGTACTAGGTAATTATTCGGAACATATATATGTTGAGGTTTGGTGTGTGGTTCTGGTCGACAAAGCATCTGCTCTCGGACACCCCAGCGCAGTTCCTTTCTATGATCTTCACCAGGAAACCGCATTGAGTCCCAGTCCCGTTTGTACTCAAAATATCTGGCTACACGGTCTACCTTGCCCCGGTTTCGGCTTAACTGGTCCAGCCTTGGGAGAATGAAGGACTTGGGCCTACTGGTAACAATCAGGTCTTGTTCATAAGCTGGAGAGCTTATTTCTTCTCTTCGTAGATTGCAAATGAGCTGATCTTGAGAGATTTCTTCATATTCATGTGGTAGATTAAATTTTTGTGAAATATCAACCGGGGATTCCCTGTCTTCCTGGAACTGCAGATTCATCATCCTCTGTCTTAAGTCCCAGAGATCCAGATCATTTTCTGTACCAGTTTCTGATTCACTGATAATTGATTCATCTGTCACTAATACTTCTCCATCCGGCTTTCTGCGTAGCACTTTTCTCTTCATCACTGGTTTTCGGAGTCTTTGAGAGGCCTCTGAGACTGTTTCTGAAGTGACAATACTTTCTACATGTGGGTACTGTAGTTGCACAGGAAGAGCAGATCGCTTCCCCGAGGTCACTGAAGCTTTAATGTAGGGATCATATTGGATAGACTGGGCTTCTCTCCTGACATCTCCTTCACCCTGCCCTGCATAGATATGGGTGAAAGCTGTAGCAGCTGCCAACATTCGTTCTTCTGGATCCATATTGGCCCATTTTTGTCCCTCAGGTCCCATGGGTTCCTCCAATGTAGCACCTTCTGCAAGAGATAACACTGGTCAGTTTTTTGATAAGTCCTCAGCTCATAAATTGCTTATTCCCTTGTCTCCATTTTTATAACATTCAAATGAAGAAAGAATGGCTAAGGCAATTATAAATTCAGTAATTATAATGAGATTAGTACAAGGTAGTATCAGAACAGTTTGGAGGGACATTTACTCAGTTCTAGGGAATCTATCACCTTTCATTTCCACTCTTACTCCCACTTTCTACTGTGCTTTGCTAGTAGAAAGTAATGTCCTAGTAGCTCCTAGGACAGGTTAAGTTCTGACACAGAAGAACTTGAAACTGCATAATATGGGGCATTCTGCTAACTGTATATGATGTAACAGGTACTTAATATACCTGCCATTGTACTATGTGCATTACATTTATTAATTCATGTAATCCTTATTACGGTGGGATTATTTCCTTTTCACACATGAATAACATGAGGCACAGAAGTTAAAGAATCTGTCTTGGGTTACTCAGCTAGTGTGAATGATAGAGCTGGAATTTTAACTCGGGGGAGTCTGGCTTCAGACTGAGTTCTTTTAACCATGAGTGACTTAACCTAAAAAAACAACAACAAAAAACCATCAAGAAGGCAGTATTGTGATCTCATACATACACACAAATAATACACTATTCCCTGTGTCACTACTATTTTTCTTTTTGAAATGAAAAACTAATACATGCACATGACAATTTAAAGCAAGGATTTCCTCACCCCCACCATTTCACTCAAAGGCAGTTGCTTATGAATTCTTCAGAAAGTTTCCACATTCACATATATTTTTAATACTATAAAGGACTTAATGATAATCTTGGTGATCCAACCATATCAGCGCATGTAGACTTTACCTTGTTTTATTTAAAGCTGCATAGAATTTCAGTATATGATATGTCATCATTTATTCAGCCACTCCCTGATTGATGCATGTTGGGTTTACAGTCTTTTGTTGTCAAAAATGAATCTTACAATAAATCTCTCTTAGGTTTTTACACACTCATGAAGTTTATAGGTTAAATTTCTAGACATGAAATATGTGGGTCAAAGGTATTTGTGTATTCTATTTTGACAGTTGTTGTCAAAATGCTTACTTCTAAAAAGTGTATCTACCAAGAGTGTATTAATAGAACTTGCTTCTTCATCTCCCCTCCAAAGTAGTGTACTAGCAAACTTTCTTGTCTTTGCAGTTACATGAAAAACAGTTGTCATATACTTCTGCATTTATTTTGCTTGAGTAAAACTGACTATTTAAAAATATATATTTATAAGACTTTTTTTGTTTGAAATGCTTTGTCTTTGCCCATTTGCCTCACAGGTTTTTGGACTTATTGGCCTTTTCATCAAAATGATTTATATATTGACAAAATACTTACATATTAAGAAAGTTAGCCCTTTACTATCATTTATTTTACTTTTCCCCCCAGTTCTCCCTTTGACTATATTTTTTGCTGATAGAAATTTTTATTTTTAGGTAGTAACTTTTTTGGTTTTCTACAGTTTTGGGGTTTCCAGAGTGTTTTACTTAGAAATGCCTTCCCCACTCCAAGATTTACCAAAAAAAAGAGTTTTCTTCTGGGACTTTTATAATTTCATTTTTTACATTTATTTTTATTTTTTTGGAGTTGGAGTCTCACTCCATTGCCCAGACTGGAGTGCAGTGGAATGCTCATGATCACCCCAGTGTTGACCTGCTGGGCTCCAGTGATCCTTCCGCCTCAGCCTTCCAAGGAGCCACAACTACAGGCGTGCTACCATGCCCAGCTAATTTGTGATTTATTGTAGAGACTAGGTCTCACCAAGTTGCCTGGGCTGGTCTCGAGCCTGCGGGTTCAGGCAATACATTCACCTCAGCCTCCCAAAGTGCTAGGATTATAGGCTGAGCCACTGAGCCTGGCTGTTTTTTACATTTAAACTTTTAATCTATTGTAGATACAGAAACTCAAAGGGCAAAAAACTAAACTACTTAGATTTAGATGTCTAACATAGTAGCCTTAGAACAGATGCAGAGATGATCTTCCACAACTAAAGTACTACCATAAGTCATAGGTTATCTAGCACTATCCCAATTTTAAAGATGTAGTTCAGCTATCCTCAGATTATTGAAATAGAACAGGAATTTCTACAGTGATGTCTACACTACATCATCAGACTGATTTTTTTATAACTGTCACAGGTAAAGAAACTTATAAAAAATCAGAACATGCATTCAATTCGGTTTTAAAAGGGTCAGTGATGCCATCAAAATTGCTTAAAGTGAGAATCTTGTCTCCAGGTTCTACACTTCCAATGTGAATGATAATCACTGAATGATAAGAATAGAGAAATGAAATCTAGACATTCTCCCCAAACTATGATTACTTTAGAGAAACTTAGCTATTTGTTCTTTTCCCCTGTGAACTGGCCAAATGGAAAAGAATAGTATCTGTAGATGATCATTCCATAAAAATTAAGCTAATGCTTGTATCCCGAGACAAGCAAAAGTGTATTCTTTGGGCATTAAATTAAACCTTGGACACGATTTTAACATCAAAGGAACCAGCACTGAAACTGTTGTATCCTTTTGCTCTTTTCAGATAGATTGGACCTACATGATTCGTTTATTCCCGGGGCTGTCATATCATGGCTGAAAATGACATAGATAGAAACCAGACTGAGAATCTCCTAAAAAGAGTAAAAGAACTGGAGCAGGAGGTACAAAGACTTAAAAAGGAACAGGCCAACAACAAGGACTCAAAAGTTGGAGAAAATACATCAGGAGCTGGAAAAGCTAAGCGTGCATTTGATTTTAGTGCTCATGGCCGAAGACACGTGGCCCTAAGAATAGCCTATTTGGGTTGGGGATACCAGGGCTTTGCTAGTCAGGAAAACACAAATAATACCATTGAAGAGAAACTGTTTGAAGCTCTAACCAAGACTCGACTAGTAGAAAGCAGACAGACATCCAACTATCACCGATGTGGGCGAACAGACAAAGGAGTCAGTGCGTTTGGACAGGTAAGGGCCAGTGTAGTGTTTCTTAAAGCAAGCAGTACCGGAATATTTTAGGTATACATACCAAATATTGAGATTATTTGTATTTCTAAAATACAATATCTTTCTCTGATTCAACAGGTGATTTCTCTTGACCTTCGTTCTCAGTTTCCAAGGGGCAGGGGTTCAGAGGATTCTAATTTAAAAGATGAAGTCAATGATGTTGCTAAAGAGATCCGTTATACCCACATTCTCAATCGAGTACTCCCTCCAGACATCCGTATACTGGCCTGGGCCCCTGTAGAATCTAGCTTCAGCGCTAGGTTTAGCTGTCTTGAGCGGACTTACCGCTATTTTTTTCCTCGTGCTGACTTAGATATTGTAACCATGAATTATGCCGCGCAGAAATATGTTGGCACCCATGATTTCAGGAACTTGTGTAAAATGGATGTAGCCAATGGAGTGATTAATTTTCAGAGGACTATTTTGTCTGCTCAAGTACAACTAGTAGGGCAGAGCCTGGATGAAGAGAGATGGCAAGAACCTTTCCAGTTATGTCAATTTGAAGTGACTGGCCAGGCGTTCCTTTATCATCAAGTCCGCTGCATGATGGCTGTCCTCTTTCTGATTGGCCAAGGAATGGAGAAACCAGAGATTATTGATGAGTTGCTGAACATACAGAAAAATCCTCAGAAACCTCAATATAGGTAAGTTAAACAGCATATCCTTCTCTCCCCCATGATTGTCTAAATAAGTCACTGATTCTGACTTCATGAGCTTTTGATCTAATTTGTAGAATGTTATGCAGCAGCATCTTCTCATTTTGTCTCATCGTTCTATCCCATTAGTAAGGAAACAGGTGTTTGGACCAGGCTTCTTACATAAAAGGACATTCATTTCTGTGTTTTTTGTTTGTTTCTGAATTCATATTAAGAGGTATACTGTTATGTTCTGGTAAAATTAAGAAATAAATCATTCATTTAAAAATCTTACTTATTTTGTATTAACTGGGTAGTCATACAACTATACTTTTAAGTCTTTCCTAATTTCTCGTTTCTGAAATAGTAGGAAAGGCAGAAAGAATAGCCAAGATTTTTGAGAACAGGCTGAGGTTAGACAGATAGTATTCATTCCTAAACTGTGAAATCAAGTTTTTACTGTACTATATAGTATACTATATTTTAATATTAGAATGCCATTAACAAATCTGGGAAAATACTGTTGGATGTTTTTAACTTCACAGCAGTATGATGAAGCCACGACTCGCTTAAAGGTGACTTGTTATCATTGACATTCACCTTATATAGATCATGTTGATCCATGGTTGTCTGCATTTAAAAAAATTATTTTAATAAAGCTGTTCAAGGATGATGTCATATTTTCTTTAGATACTTAATATTGACATCAACAGTCCCCCTCCCCCCCTTTATCCCAGCTAACCTTCAGCTTTCTAAGAACTGTCGGATGGCTATGTATCCTCATATTGTTTCTTCTTTTCTCTTTTTCTCTAGTATGGCTGTAGAATATCCTCTAGTCTTGTATGACTGTAAGTTTGAAAATATCAAGTGGATCTATGACCAAGAAGTTCAGGAGTTCAATGTTACCCACCTACAACAACTGTGGGCTAATCATGCTGTCAAAACTCACATGTTATATAGTATGCTACAAGGACTGGATTCTGTTGCAATGCCCTGTGGAACAGGACCAAAAATGGATGGTATGATAGAATGGAGAAACGTTAAGCCCTCTGTCATAAAGCAGACCAGTGCCTTTGTAGAAGGAGTAAAAATGCGCACATATAAGCCCCTTATGGATCGTCCTAAATGCCAAGGACTGGAATCCCGGATCCAGCATTTTGTACATAGGGGACGCATTGAGCACCCACATTTATTCCATGAGGAACAAGCAAGAGCCAGAAGGGACAGTAGTGATACACTAGAGGAAGAGAATACTATTTTGCGGAAACCAACAAAGAGGGTCTGTGTCGATACAGAAATTAAAAGCATTATTTATCCATAAACAATTCAGGATCTAGGAAACAAAAACCGGCTAGTAGAAAAGAAACTGAAAATATTTACTGTAAGAAGTACTAGTGATTCAGATGATCAACTTTTGAAAGGAAAAAAAAAAGACTATAGGGCCCTAAGGAAGTCTTGCTTTAACAAGAAAAGAATTCAAACATTCTCTCGTTCCTGTATAAAAAGATTAAGAGATGAGATAAGCAAAAGCAGTGGTAAAATGGAGATGTATTCATGTATTACCTGAAAATCTGTGCCTTGTATTCAAATTCATTAAAGCCTAATCCTGCAAGTACCTAGTTTGTTATGCTGTTCTTTTTCAAAGCAATGAGATATTTGCTACTCATCTGAATTTTCATAAAGAGCTTTGCATGAGTATCATATTTTCTAAGACAGATTTAAAAAATACTAAATTCAGCTGGGCATGCTGGCTCACACCTGTAATTCCAGCACTCTGGGAGGCTGAGGTTTGAGGACCATTTGAGGCCTTGGCAACATAGTGAGACCTCATCTCTACCAAAAATTTATAAAAGAAAAATTAGTCGGGTGTACTAATGCATGCCTGTTGTCCCAGCTACTTGGGAGGCTGAGGCAGAAGAATCTCCTGAACCCAGGAGGTTGAGGTGGTAAGCCTTGATTGTACCACTACACTCTAGCCTGGGTGACAGAGTGAGATTTGACTCAAAAATAAATAAGGCTAAAAAGTAAATTTAGCCAATTAAGGTTTGGATAAATTGGTTTAGTGCCAGGTCAGATTCTACCTGGAAGTTACCTAACTGAAAAAGGCACAGTACCTTTTTCTTATGAAACATAAATTTACTGCAAAGGTTGGTAAACATTTTCTATGAAGGACAAGGTATTTTAAGGGTCTATGAATCACAAATGATCTCTACTTTATATTCTTTTTTACAACCCTTTACAAATTTAAAAAGCCTTAGTTTCATGGGTCATGGTGGTTTAGGGAAAGTTCTTATAAAGAGGAGATATTCAAACAAAATCTTGCAGAACAAGTGGAAGCCAATTAAAATGATAAAGAACCAGATCTTTAAGTGTGTCTAAAGCAGATGATGCAGTGTGTATAAAGGATTAGAGATTACAGTATATGCATTCAGGCAACTGTAAATATTTAGTATGGCATGAGCGTGACAGCTTAGTTTAAGAAAGGGTCATGTTTATAAAGCCTCAGAGGCTTTCCTTGGAAAGCTAAGATTTTATCTTGAAGTGCTATTGAAAACAATTTTAATGCCAGGTAGAATCGTATAGCAAAAATATTGCTCTGGGTATACTGTGGATTGGAAGAGGGCATTGGGTCCAATTAGGAGACCATTGGAATAATCAAGGCAATAGATGATGATGGCCAGAATAGACTGGTAAAGAGGAATGGAGAGAAGTAGAGTTGAGATTAAGGAAGCAGAAACAGTAGGACTCAATGATTGAGTAAATATGCTGTTCAAAGTAGGGAGGCTTTTAGGTTAACTCCTAAGTTGAAACCTGAGCAAATAAGTGGCTAGTAGTACCACACACTGAAATAGGAAAAAAAGGTGGGGCTTTGCTTGTTCTCAAATCAGAGTTGTAAGTGGCCCTCAAAATACTACTTATAAACACCAATATTTATTCAAAAGAGCTCTCAGTTTCTAATGAATTTGTAAAAATAAAGTAAATGAACTCAGACCTTCTTCCTCAGTAATAATTTTCATTACTGCAGAATGTTATCTATATTTACAATTCTGCCATATGAGATCTAAAGTTTCATTTACCATCCAACACATAATTAGTTTGCTCCTACTTATGTTCAAGACTCCAACTATACAAATATGGTTTATGTCCTCAAGCTGTTAAACTAACATGAATGGGACACACATAACTATAAAATATAACTAGCATGTGAGACTATTAGAAACAATACTAATATATATAAACTGAACCACATAAATGCTATAGAAACTTGGGAAGAGGCAGACCACAGAAATAAGACTTCACTGAAAGAGTTCCAGGCTTAGGAAGTGAAACAGCATACAAAAAGGCAACCTTCTAGTACAGAAGAGTAAGGAGCTCATTGTAATAGGTTTTATATCCTAGCAGAGAGGGAGCCAGAAAATACATTTTAGAGATGAGGAAACAGTGGTATAAAATTACTTAGGATGTATTCAAAATAGCCAGTTGTATCATCCACGTCTTGGATTTTGAACCCTTGTTACTGCTTTTTTGGACTTGACCTATCAACACTTCATAATTCTCTGAGTGTTCTTAAAATATGATTGCTATGTACTTTAATATTAATGTAAAGATCTTGTTTTTAGTGTTATCACTGAGCATGGTGGAAACCAGAATTATTTTTTGGAGGGCAGGACCCTCGTAGTATAGGCTTCCCCCCACTAGGTGTCCTAGGAACACCAGTGTACGGGCAAGCATTGTTGTGAGAAGCTGTTTTACTTCAGTGAATTTTTTTTAAAGACTCTTTCAGTGCATTTGCCCATTTCGTGATGGGTGATTTATGAGCGTACCTGCCCACACACTGCAGAAATGTTCAGCAGTTTTTGAACAAAAACAGCACGATCCCTGTGCCCCACTCTCCCTATTCACCCAGTCTTGCCCCAAGACTTGTTTCCCCAGATGAAAAAAAGTCCTCAAAAGGAAATGTCTTGCCTGTGTGTTAAGAGGTGAAACAAGAAACAGCAGAAGCACACTTAAAAGGTAACAAAATTACTAGTTCAAAAACTGGAGCAGTGGAAAAAGCATCTCAACAGGTGTATTGTATCAAACGGAGACTACTTTGAAGGTGACAAGTTTAAACATGTAAGAATAAATACACAACTTAAAAATAAATTCTGGGTGTTTTGAGTCCTCCCTTTTATATTTACTTAAACATGTAAGTACACACCAAAATTTATTTTTTCTATTTCTTACCTTATTTTAATGTACCTTGATTGGCATTAGTATTCGAGTTAAAAAAAAAGAAAAAAACCTAGAAGAGAGTTTAAGAAGTAATTCCTCATTAAAAACAAAACAAAAAACCCCAAACAAATCCAAAGCAGTAAAAACACAAAACACTAAAAGTCATATGCTAGGAGATAAGGAATTGGAGGATCAGGATGTCAGACCTTAAGTAAAATCTTTTCAAGGTTGACTAGATTATACTATCAAATCTTAAAGAGTAAGGATTTAGTGAACTCATTTTTGAGGTATTGTTGTAGCACAGAAGTATTTCTAGCATAGAAAAAGTCAAGACAGTCATCATTGCTGGAGCAAATGAGAAGCCCCCAAATGTAACTGCAAAATTAACTTGTCATCTGCTACAGTGTTTAAAGAACGTCTCCTGGCCACCACAGCCTCAACCTGCTGGACCCCGGCGATCCTTCCGCCTAAGCCTTCCAAGTAGCCGGAACTACAGGTGCGCACTACCACACCCAGCTAAATTTTTGATTTATTGTAGAGACAAGGTCTCGCCAAGTTGCCCAGGCTGGTCTCGAACCCACGGGCTCAGACAATCCACTAGCTTCAGTCGCCCCAAGTGCTGGGATTACAGGCTGAGCTACTGAGCCCGGCCAGTCTCTCCATTTTTAAAATGAAAGAAATTATTTCAATAGGTTGTGAAATTTAAATAAGATTTTATATAAATAAATAGTGCTTTGTGGGGACTCTGGGCTGAGAAGATTTTTGTCACTAAAGCCAAGGGATTTTATGGCATATGTACTATACTATAATTAATGTGACATTTCCTTTACATTTGAATGTCACACTCCCATTTTTTTCCTTTAATATGTAAAAATGTCTGCAAACAGCAAATTATAAACTTTAATTAGGTCCACAGGTAACTGTTAGTTCTTTTTCTAATATAAAGACCTGACATTCATTTCTCTTTACTTAAAGGGAAACACATAGAAGCTAGAGCAAGTTGTATTTTGTAGATAAATACAGACAATATCAACCAAAATACCTAAAAATATCTTCTCTTCAAAAATCTTCAGTGCTTCGGTGTCCCAGGTTTAGCTAGTTATGATTGAAAGGATTTCCAGAGTGGAAGGAGAATGTTAAATTGGGAGAAAGGGGCTGAGTCAGTAGTTAGATTCTAATCATTACAGGGAAGCTACTGCAGAATTTATTTTATTTATTTTATTATTATTTTTTTGAGCTGAAGTCTCACTCTGTCACCCAGGATGGAGGGGCAATATAGCACGTCTCCCGGCCACCGCAGCCACAACCTGCTGGGC